TTGTGATCCAAGAAGAGATCTATACGAAAAACTCTGCAAGACCTCAAATTATATTTGCTTTCAATATTTTTATAATAATAGCAACGTTTTTGTTTTCTTCCAAATCTGCTCTCAAATCGATTTTAAAAGTATACCTGCAATTTCAAATTATCTCTGATTCATTTTTACTAACTTTATTTTCGTTAACCTATAATTGGGCAGCCGGTCTGTGCACTGATATTGGAGATAGAGATAGATGTATATATATATATTTCAAAACAACATGTTTATAAGGAAACAGGAGAACAACCGGAGAAAACCCACGGGTTAGACAGGAGACCATGGTCTAGGGGTTTTCGGAAATATGAACGTTATGGACACTGCAAGTACTAACATTTCCATTTTGCCATTATGAAAAGACCCGAGGTGACTTTTAATTTGAACAACCTACATACCTTAATATACATTTTTGCAGATTACCAAAAATATGTAAAAGTCATTTACTCCTAGGTGGGCCACCTTGATAGAAGATTAAATCTAATTACACTATGGCAGGTTAAAATACTGAGTGTATTTCTATAAAACACCAGGACTTGTTTTAATTACGATTTTATCTTAATGGTTCTTGTTGAAGGCTAACTGGAAATATTTGAAAGAAGTTTTAGTTGTAATATTTATAGAGAAAAAAATTCTACGGCAAAATGGGTTCATTAAACTCATTGAGAGAGAGATGGGGTTTGACGTCCAGTCGACACGAACTAGATATTTCGGGACTAACACATGGTTATTTTCTTTTGTTATTTCAGTAATTCGCTTGCGCATAGGGGTCTTTAGAAGTGGGTGGTAACCGGACGACCTGGAGAAAACCCACGAGGTTGGACAGGCGACACCACTCCTTGTCACGTCCAACCGGGGAATTGAAACCACTCCAGTTGACTCAATGATACAGCGCGCACACAGCGCGCACATAGCGCGCACGTGCTAACCATTCGGCCATCCACCCCCTCCCCACACACTCCTCCCAACGGAACGAGGCAATTTTGTCTAGTACTTTCTTAGTTTTTATCTCGCGGCAAAAGAAGAGACAGAAATATATATAGCACATTTTAAGGTTTGGCAACTGAGCCGGGTGACAATCGAAGATTTCTTAGGTCGAACAAACCGAGTATATAAAACATTTTAAAACTGTTTGAGGTTGATATCCATTTTATTTTATAAAAATAGTATTTTATTGAATGTTAAGTTTGGGGAAACAGGCAAAGCCTATATAATCCCTCTCCCTAAGAGTGTTTAGCCGAAAGGGGCATAGCGAAAAATAAAATTGAACACACCCTGAAGATGCAATGTTCTTGTTTGCCCCTTTACTGTTACAAGATTACCGTGTACGCCTTCAGTACTGATTCTCATTTAGATAAAACAAGCATAGATGATAATATTCTTTTATTTAGTAAAACCAGACACCGTTGGAATCTAGGTTTACTGTCCAGATGACACTTACTGGCAACCTCCTGACCTTCTGGGTATATGTATGTTTTGTTGTTTAATTATAAAGAAAAGAATGAATGGACAACTATCATTCACGGTGGTTTTTACATGGCGTAATAGTAGGGTTATTTTGAGAATGACACCACTGGTGCTTGGGAATCTAATTCAAAACATCTTAATAAATTCCGTTAAATTATTGGTATGTTGTTCCCGGCATTGGCTGAGGAAAGATTCAGCTCCAACTGGAAAACATATCTAGCCTTTGTGATAAGAGAAAAATAAACAAGTTGAAATACCACAATGAATAAACATATAGCTGTTTACATGCCTGGGGGCCGAGGTACCTAAGTGAGTAATACGCTGGTTCGCAAACCAGGAGGTCTCGGGTTCGCTTCCGGTTTTGGTCGAGCTAATGCCTTAGGATTTTCCAGCGTAGCTTCCCCTTGGTAGTATATAATGCAGGACGGAGTGCCGGACAATTAACAGTATCTAGTCGTTCGGATGGTTCGATAGGCCGAGGTTCCGTTTAAAACCCCCCCAAAAAACCCACCATGACAGCTGAAATTCGAAATAAGAGTAGGCCGTAGTTCCGCTGTACGGGCAAAATGGACCTCATACCAGACGTCTGCATTAGCCATTTTATTTTATTTTATTTCGTTAACACGTCTTACTTCGTTTACACGTTGACAGGTGGGCACATTGATGTTATAGTTTACTTATACATTAATCCGCTTCTAAGTAGTTTTTATTAAAGCGTTTCGTTCAGATGAAATTGGTTTAATGGCGTGACAACCGCGTTGCAACCTATTCAGACTGCCAAGCCTATGTTTCTTTTACATCCATGCCAGCGTGTATATGATTTTCGTCATATCCGGACGACAAGACGTTGGTCCTTGCTAAGGTGCTGACAATACCTTTAATACCTTAAATCAGTTCAAAGTGTTAGGGAAGATCCCAGATTAAAAGAAGGACTGTCATGTTGCTGTACTTAAGAGAGATTTGATTGAAGGGTAAGAATAGAATCTCAAGTATCAGAAGTCAATCCAGTAATGGGCAGAGAGGGATTTCTCGGGCCATTGCTTCAAGAATATGGGGTATAAAAGGAGGTGAAACGCTCATTAGTTGAAGGGGCCAGAACTAAAGTAGGCTAACCGACAATTTAAAAGAAAATCGGAAGCAAAAATAAAAATTTGAACTCTATAAATAACACACCCTAAATTAAGGTGTGGTATGACATATGGGATGTCAAAATATCACTGATTTAGATGAATTACAGAATTTTTAATCATCGATAAATTTTGAAGTCAATTGTCTCAAAAAGTTGTCGATGTGGGTTGGCCCACTTTGGTTCTGACCCCTCTAGTTATTTAAAGCTAATCATGTTTGTAGTCAAATTGCAGTACTTCTATAACTTGATTGAAATCAGTTTTTGTTTCTTCAAGTGCTTTGAATATTCATTATTTGGCGGCTTAAATTTATTTCTGCAGGGAAAAGACCTAACAAAAACGTCCATTGACAAGAGTACACAACGTGTAGTGCCAACAATATACGATAGTGGCAGGCAAGTGAGGCAACCCGGGAAATTTGAAATTACGGATGTAATTTTTTCTTTAATTCATAAAGATACATTGTGTAAGATTTAGATAAAAAAAAAACCCTGACCGTTTCTGCTATAATAGTTCAAAAATGGATAATGTAAAATGAATATATTGAAAATTTCATTCAAATTATTTTAATCTGAGCGAAGTAATCACTATTTGTAGTTTTGACAAGATGCGCGCATTGATTGTTTATTATCGTAACCAACGGACTGGTTAATCGATTCTTAGCCTCGCTTCTCCAGTTTTTAAATTAAATCATTAAATTAATAAATGACCGAACCGTTCCAATCTACTTAAAATCGGAGACATCCGATGGCATCGAGAGTTGATTGTTGTCTTGTAATGTTGATAAATGTCTAATTAATAATTAATGTAACATTTAAGACCTAAAGAAAGACCTGCAATAGGCAGATTTAGCTCTTTGAAACACCCTTCCTCAAACATGAATTTGGGATATCTATTATTTACTGAAATAAAGACACCTTAGTTAAATCTTTCCCGATGGGCCAATGCGCCACTGGATACAAATGATTTCATTTGTAGATTATATATAATTTGTATTTTCTGATTAACAACATTAGATTAATGAGATATAATTTGTTTACTCTAATTAAAATTAGATATAATTTGTATACTCTGAATAAAATTAGATTTGTATACTATGAATGAAATTAGATTTGTATACTCTGAATGAAATTAGATATAATTTTTATACTAAGATATTAACATGCTCTAATTTACTATACATCTAACTTGAACACGCCTACAATATTTTATACCGATGGCTAGTGGTCATGACCTTCAATTCCCACCCGCGTTCTCTTTTCGTCTTGTGGACTATTCGCCCGTGACCGAAATCGACAGTTCATGACCGCAACTTGACGAAACTTGTTGGAAACCACGGGGTTGTTCCAGACGTAGCCGAACTTCTTTTATGAAATTACGTGAACGATGAAAGTGTATATTAAACACAGAAAGAAATCTATCAATGACAAAATATAACTATTTCATGATCCTTGAACGCATAATAAATGTGCACTTTTTGGGTGGGTCATCCCCCAGCCCACCTTTTTTTATTATCCCAGATGTGCTTGAAAAGATTCACAATTCTTGAAAGTGTTACACACAAACCCAACTTTTTACTTCCAAACGATCCTGAATCCGCGCGTGTATGCTTGAAAACAAATTCACAATTTTGTTACAGGTGATCCCCTAACCCATCTTTTCGTTACAAAAGATCCAGGATGCGTGCTTGTAATCTTTACAAAAGTTCACGATTTTTGAATGTGTTATCTCCCAACCCACCATTTTTACAAAAGATCCTGGGACCCGCGCTTGGATGCTTGAAAAGAAATTCACAATAATTATTTACGATTTGAAACAAACGACTTGTGAGATAAAACCCATTTACAGCCACATCTAATCTGTGTTACAGAAAATGACCACACTGCCTTTAGAAAGAGCAAGAAAATCACGTATTATTTACAAGTATTGACCTTTTAACCGTCGACACGCCACGAGACCCTCCATTTCTATCTAATTACTTGAGCTATAATATAAATTGTGTAAAGTATATCACATAGCATGGTATATCATCAATTTATCAGTTTGATATATAATGAGACTGGGAGACAAACCCTGGCATATTAACTAGAGTTTATTATAGAATCTTACCACACGTGCTCGAAGGTAATTGTTTCCACAAAAGCCATTGCAGCCAACCGAAGCTGTTCGCGTGATAAGATATTCTCTTGTCAATATACACCCAACCCTTCCCCTTAATAGCCTAACTATAGGAAGTGGGTGGGTCTTGCATATTTCGTTTCGGTTTCTCGACAAATCACAACATCACCGTAATTTGACAGTTGCCATCTAGTTATCTCAGACTATATAATAAGTTCCTTTTTATGTGTCTTTACCAAAGAATAACTCCAGTTACTATAGCACGTGTATATTACCCGTTATAAACTATATACTTCGGCTTACTATCCAACAACAGAAGCATATGTGATAAATTTTATATTATGTTATTGGAAGATCTCTGATGGATATTGAATAATTTGGACTTACAGTTTAGAAATACCACCAATATTTTACCCTTTTCAGTACATTTAGGACAGTTCAAACATAATATATTTGTACTCAAGTTTGCAACTGTTATCTAAAACTTATATTCCATTATAACTGTGAAGCAGGTTTTGCCGTCATTATGCTGAAATAAACCTGCCTGAGATAACCGTTATTCCAAGGAGTCTTCTATCTGACTAATTCTGTCTCGATAACAAGAAAACAGTTAACACGGAACCGATAACTTACTTAGCCCGTTATTTCAAAGGTTTTCAATGTTGGATTTGTCATTCATCATAATATCGAACGGATAAAGATCGACTCCAAGTGCACACTACTCTTGGTGTAAAACACTTAAGATATGGTAGGACTCCTTTTTTATTGATTACATAAGCTATATGTATTGAGTAAAAGTCATATAGCTTGTTCGCAAGTATCTTCTTTGATTTAAAATAATATAGTAGTCCAGATGAACGGAGAAACTCGTCAAAAATATGATTAATTTATTTAACTTAGAAATGTACCTAGATACATGTGTTGTATATGAAACTGTAATCGATAAGTGTTCTATTCCACTTAATCATAGTTTTTATGTGTAATTTACCTAGATATATGTGTTGTATATGAAACTGTAATCGATAAGTGTTCTATTCCACTTAATCATAGTTTTTATGTGTAATTTATGTATTGTCAAATGAACTATTTGCGGTGGGATGAATTCAGCTGACTGAAGTTCGGCAATTACTTGATATTTTCTCACTGATCGTCGTAACAATGCATACAGTGTTTCTAACCGACCGCCTAACAAGCAATTATCGTCGCAAATCCGGCTGCTGTGGCGGGTATGGCGTTGAATCGTTTAGGGAGATCATTATTAATCCAGTCACATGTTCATGTGAAAAAACAACAAAACGCACCTGACCACACGAGTAATGATACATTGAAAGGCAGCTGGTTACTGTGTGAAGGGCTAAAAAAATAAAAAAATCTGCTCCCTAAGAAAAAAACATCTTATTGAAGTCTGTTAAGATTGATTGGGTCTTTGATTCAGACGCAAAGACTGAAATTATCGGTAATTTGTCTTTGATTAAAGGTGACAATTTTATCTGCCTCACAGCTAATGAGACAGAATTGAATTTAAAGGGGTATCGAAGAACCTTTAGGATATGTTATCTAAGTAATTAGTTCTTAGATGTCAGAGCCAGCGCAAATTTGTTCGCCAATTAGCTTAGAAGATATTAATTGATTTCAAAAGGTTTAGAAAAAAGCAAGGAAATCTTATTTCTCAATAAGTTTAGATTTATTTTTATTTTAATAATGGATGTTTTGAAACCAGATACAAAGTGTTTTTAATTTAGTAAAATTACATGCAATTAAATTTGACTTGTATCTGTGGTGGGTAATTTTGTTTCTTACTTTTATGTTTTTCAGATCATCTCTCTTATACTAAGCTACTCCATTAATCGACTGAGAATAAAGATTGCATAATAACCCATCCCTTCCGTCTAATAACAGACACGTATGTAAATACTGTAAAAACGTAGTGCGAAAGAACTATTATTTAGAAGACTTGATCCTGAGTAGGAACAGTAACTTTTGACAGGGTGTACTGTTATATTTAGTGGAGAAAAATGAAAAGAATACAGTCTAAAACAATACATATATATTAAAGAGCTTATATTTGACAGTATATTGTATACATAATAGTGGATTTATTAAGTTCGAAACAATTGCATTGAAGTGAGCAGTATGACTACTTATCCATCAACTCTACCTGCCGCGGGGCTAATATTAGACAAAACAGTAACAAACGCGACGATGGCCGTTCAAGCCGCAAATTCAACCAACGACGTTATCATGGAAGACAACTTGACAGAGGGAAATGTCTTAAATCCGTTCGTCATCTCTACAGAACCGGAAGCTATTGCGGTCCCGATCGTGTTCGGAATGATATTTTTGGTTGGGATTATTGGAAACGGAACGTTGATTTATACGGTTCTGTTTAACAAAGTTATGAGAAACGTACCGAATGTGTTAATAGTTAGTTTATCTATAGGTGATTTACTACTGATTCTGGTATCAGTTCCGTTCTCTGCGACTATATTTACGTTTATAGGATGGCCATATGGTGATCTAGTTTGTCGATTCAACGAGTTCATGCAGACTTTATCCTTAGGAGTATCAGTGTTCACCTTAACTGCATTGAGTGTTGATCGGTATTTGGCGATTGTAGATCCTATGTCCAAACATACAGGAAAAACTATGGCGAAAACGCTGGCTTTAGCTGTATCCATCTGGTGTTTTTCGGCTGTGATCGCTATCCCTGATGGTGTTTTAACTAACGTTGTCACTCTCAATTTAAACGGTACGTATAAACATGCCTGTTTGGCCTACCCTATTTCTATGATAGACACATATCCAAAATATCATGCTTTAGTGCGGTTTCTGATATATTTCGCTATTCCGATACTCATCATTGCCGTATTCTATCTTATGATGGCCCGAATTCTAATCAAGAGTGGCGAAACCATGCCCTGCGAAGGAAAGGGAGCCTTGAACCACCAGAGGCAAATTGCCGCGAGGAAGAAAGTAGCCAAAGTTGTCATGTCTTTTGTGCTAATTTTCGGTGTCTGCTGGTTGCCACGCCATATTTATTTGTTATGGTTCTTTTATGACTCTGCCTCTTACAACCAATTCTGGCATATCTTCAAAATTCTTGGATTCTGTTTAACTTTCATCAATTCTTGTGTCAATCCATTCGCACTCTATTTTCTCAGCAGTCAGTTCAGAAAATACTATAACCGATATCTGCTGTGTTGTATACCCAAGACTCGTTATACCAGTCTCGAACCCTCATCTACAATGCATAACTTTAACAGCACTGTTCGTCGAGCAAGCTCCACAACCACCACCATTGTCCAGTCTCAATCAATGTGTTGAGAACAGTTGTCTAGTCTTAATCAATGTGCTGAGAACAATTTTTCAGTCTCAATCAATGTGCTGAGAACAGTTGTCCAGTCTCCTCGGACATTGACATTTTGTTGTGATTTGTAAAACAGAAAGTTGAAATTAATTAATATATTGTTCGGGCATTCAGAATAGCTTCCCACCAAAACTTGATTTTTGGAACCATTTTGAAGACACGAATGTGCTAATAGACATGTTATGGAGACCTATGATATCATAGGGAAATGGTGTAGTTTGTTTTTGTTGAGAAATGATAAAGACTTTTATGAATGTGATATGATCAGATTGTTTTTGGTCCCGGTCCCTACTCATTTGTTGTTATTTTTGTTGTTGTTATTGTTGTTGGGGGCAACACTTTTCGAAAATAGCTCACGGCGATTGACATTAACCTTGGTATGTTTGTTCCTTGGACAATTGCGTATGGATTGACGAACTTCCATTTTTGATATGACGTCACATTTCCAAGATGGCGGCGATGACGTTAAGTAGTGTATTTATTAAAACAAAATGTGGAAATTGTAACACCATATAGATTTTATGATATCTGTTGAGTTTAATTCAAAGACTTCTGCTTGCTGCATTACTAAGATAGATAATTAGATCTCCTTTCACAACCGCGACGAATGTTTATTATGGTACTTACCTCCAGGGACATTAATCATAATTTAATATGTCACATTAAGAGCTTTTTTGTTTGAGGTAATTAATCAAAGTATGTATTGAAAGGTCATTTTTTTGGATACTTGGACGAAATTTCCTACTTCTTCTACGCATGCCGAAACTTCTGTATATTCTAGGCTCATTAATATCATTGCCATTTGTTGTCAACGCCATAATGAGAGTTGGAGAGAAATCGGGTTTATTAGCGTCCACTTAACACAAAGGTCATTTCGTGACTAATACATGGTACACTTTTATTTCAATTATTGACTTGCTTGCACGTAGAGGTCTTTAGCAGTGGAAGGAATCCAGAAGACCCGGAGAAAACCCTCGAGGGCTTCGAGTCATCTATTGGGCACTTGAGAACAAAACAGGAATTAAATACTAATAGTCTACGCCATTGCGTCAAAGTTCACCCCTTACGTGATCTCCCACAGAAACCCAATCAAAAAAGGGTGAATCCAAGCAAAGAGTAAAGAAACGAAACGAAATTTCGATTTGTATTTTAATCAGATGGCTAAAACGATAAGATTAGGATGTTTATGAAGCCATGCAGTGACAAATAAATAAAAAAAATAACATTTCTTATCATTACGATTGTAGCCGCAGATTTAAAAAGAAAATTATCTGATATTCAGATATCTTTAACTCGTCAACTATGGATTTGACGATATATTTTTTTTATTTACATCGTGGTTAAGATGCATTACCAAGTACATAGTAGGCTAGTTACAGCCTGATTCTAAAAGTAGTATATTAATATCTTTAACCAATCAAAGCGAATCTGGAATAACTCACTGCACCTGCCATTGCCTAAACTCTAGGATTGTATACATTTTTGCATTGGTCGACGTCAGAGAAGTTACATAATCTCTGTAGATTTGGACATAAACGTATTTATATTTATTTATATATGTCTTATTTACCAGAGGTTGTGTATTGTGGTTTAGCGAGACTAATGCGAACAGGAATTCAATATGGTGGAAACATTAGATAATTTTATGACAGGCCCAAAACTATTCATTTTTATACGCCCACATAGAAAAATGGTCATATATTGTCGTCGCCTCCATCCGTCAGTTCAGCGTCCACAATTTCTTGTGGACGCTCTAGATCCTAAAGTCAATATCCGATTGTCTTTAAATTTATACCCAGTGCTTAAGGCCACGAGAACCCTAGTCATTTTCAACGATTTCCGATAATTACCACCAGAGTTATGGCCCTTGATCACTTTGAAAAATCTTGCTTAACGTCATGAGACAAACAATCGAAACAAATTTTAATGATTTCTGATAATTACATAATGGGTTATTACCCTTGTTGACTTAGCTGATGTGGGCGTATGTTTCGTTGCCTGGCAACCTATCTTTTAGTTCTTGGAGGTATTGATAAATAAATAGTGATTCAAGTCTAGTGAAGTTTGTTTTGTTTAAAAGATCTAAACAAACATTTGGAACTAAAATCTTTTGAGAAAAGCAATTAAGTACTTTATGGTTTTAAATTCCTTTCTTTTTTTTTTTTGAAGAAATAGCAAGAAGAATTTAGAATGTGAAGCGCGTGTCCAGTTGGCGCTCTAGGGGGTCCACACACCCCTCACTCCCACGTCCTGCGGTCGGAGAGAATATTTTCTCTAATTCATTCATGGAAATAACGCCGTTTTGACCCCACTCCACTGTAATCATATACATGTATGCACCTAAATGAGCAGAAATATTGTTTCAAAGCTTCTGAATTTACCAAATTCCCGCGTAATTCCCACACGACCTTGGATTCCCCGCTGCTCAAATTTCTGTACACGCCTCTGAATGTGAATTCAAATTGGCGTGATCTAATTATACTCACACTCATCTAATGTAGCAACAGAAATCAGTATCAAAACTATTATATTTATTTAATAATAATAATAATAATAATAATGTAAATATATTATATATATTTGTTGTGTATATATACGTCATTGTTTGGTCCAATATTAGATATTATTAATTTATGTAATGCTTTAATATTTGTTGTGAATATACAATATATGTATTAAAATTTAGAGGATATGTAACAAAAATATGAATTGTCTTTTATCATCACACAACGTTGTAATATTATAATAATGTTACAATTGATCCGTTTTAGAATTCAGTATTTGACCATAGGCAGGTTAGACGAGAAAAATAAATACTACATGCCGCCTACGGTCGCTCATTTATTGTTTATCAAACAAATGTCATTTTTCTACGGTTGAAATATTGGAAATAAATCAAAGCATACGGTTACCTAATTAAATCTATCGACGAAACAGAAATGAAAAGAAATGGGCTTTAATGCCCTACCTTTCTGCACCAACTGGTCTAATTAAGACGAGGTTACGCCAAATAGTGTGCTATGAGGGATTTTTGGCCGTCATTGGTTCGTTTACGTGTACGCCAATGTGTACTCGGGTCGGGGCCTCAGTTTTACGTCCCATCCGAATGAATGTCGACGGTACGGTTACTTAGTAAAATTAAAAATGCCCATTCCCAGTGTCACGTTTTACAAGAACACTATTACATGCTTCTCAGCAAACAAATGCATGCGTGAAATATCTGGTCCACGAGAGATGGAAATAGGGTTGGGACACGTGATTGTTCACGAGATTGTGAGTTAGTTCTAGGTCTAGGGTTAGGGTTACCCATGTTTACATCTCGTGACCTTTGACTAAAACTGCAGCTGGCCTTAATATTTAGACCTAACCACATTTTGTCTTTCCTACATTCATTGAAATAACGCCGAACAAACAAACGTGCGAACCATTGCCATCGTTTTGGGATCACTCTACTCTAATCCTATATAAACACGTATGCACCTCAATGAGCAGAAATACTGTCTCAGAGCTTACACCAAGCCTCACCTTGCCCCCCTCCACTTCCCCACATGTACGCCCGTGTATTTCATCAGACACTACATAAGATTCACTTAAAAGCAACTATCGAGCATTATTCCAGGAGAAACAGAAACACGTTAGATTGCAGTGAAGATAGTCCTGCAAGGTCCATCAGACAATGCATCTAAAAAGGCACTAATATACCTTTACCAAGGGTGAGGGGGGCTGCGAATTTCGTTTTTTTCTTCCTTTGTTGTATAGATTGATATGAAACTAACATTAAAGATTTGATGACATATTTGGACTAAAATCATATTCAAACTAATTAATATATCAAGAATTTGCTTCAAATCCCTCTGTATTCGCTGGGAGATACTGCAAGCTATAAATAAACTGTTGTTAGACGCCATGTTCGTCATCTAACTTTTTTTGAGGTAGGGTCCATTTTTAGAAGTACTTTTCATTACTTAATGTCCATTTACCATACATATTGAGGTCTAAGTAGATTCTTAATTATTTTATGTCAACTTCTATTTCTGCCGTTTGAACGTTGACAACCCTCAATGTTCCCAACACCGCCTAACCATTTGATTAAGAAATAACAACGCTCCCTCGGTCAAGATAGCACATATAAGCTCACAGACAACAGTGCTTGTTCTGTGGGTTTTTTTTTTCGGGTAATCCAGTATTTTTCTAGTAAGATTGGGCGTCTATACTTTCCATAATAATATATACCAAATTTGCCATACTTTTGTTGGAAATAACCACCCGATAAGTACTATGTATCTTTAAGTGTGGCCATTCGTACAATTTTAACGTTTCAAAAGGGGATATGGGACTTGAAGCGATAAAATATGCATAATTAATTGCATTTAAGGGTAGAATGGAATGGCGTTTAAGGTTTCGTCGTCACAAAACTTCGGTTATCTTGAGAAAAACAAATGTTAACTTCTATTTCTATCGATGCAGGTTGATCATACGGCTCCACTCCTTGTCATGCACAAGCTTGGGATCGAAACCACGCCGCTTGACTCAATGACAGACCTCGTGCACACTTTAAACCTCTCGATCCCCCCATCTCCACACTAATTTATAATAGAGAACATATATATATCGCAATCCTCTTGTAGTTGAATTTTGTTAGTGAATTAATATTCAAATTACAATAAAATATAATTTCCTTTTCTTTAAAGATTAAAACAATTGATGTAATCAAAACCTAGAAGAGATCCGTTCGGAGAGTTTTAGAATTAGTACACGCATAACGTTAAACTATGTTAAATGGGCTAAAATTGATCCGAGCCAGCCGTCAAAATGCTAATTAAATGAATTCTCGTATTCTGATATAATTCTTACACTGCACTTTTGTGATACCCGCCATCACTACTAGACTCCACCCCTTCCCTCGATTTACTCCAAAATTTTTATACATCTATTGTCCTCCTACCACAGCACATATGAATTCTAGAATAACTCTATTGGTATGGCGCCAAGTATTAAAATGAATCGCCACAGTAGGCCATACTGTTCAATTACGCATCTTCCAATTCTCTTAATTACGAAAACTAGATGTATTTTGTGTTTTTATATAACGAAAGCCATGGTAGCACGAGGAGTATGGTACAGGCTCAATAACCCGGACGTTCTCCGTTCGATCCTGCAGCAGACAGAGAAAATTCCTCGGGATTTTCCAACCTCGTTTCCCCAGAATCAGAAAACAAAATGATGTAGGTGGGGTTTTTTTCGTATCAATGTGCGACGATAAAAAAACCCCTCAATAACCTACCGTTTAGCTAAACAATAAACACGAAACAACCATATTGAACAGTACCAGAATCATGGACACATGTGACATTCAACATTTCGACCACCAAACAGTAGTATTTTGGTTGGTTGTTGTTAGGTGTATTTGGTATATGCTGTGTGGATGTGGGTGGATATGCTATTACCAGGGCCCGATTAAGGGGGCTGATGACTGGGTTACAGCCATGGGCCCCAATATTAACAAGATCCAAAATCAACTCTAATATTGTTTAAAATAATTTTATAATTCTGCCAAATATCATCCATATTGACATGCAAATTCGATTAATGCGAGTGTGACCGACATATCAGCCTTAGTTTACCCCATAGAGATATAAAGTTTCTCTATACCGCATGTCTCTATATCTAGTCAGGTCAAAATACAGTTTAGCCCCCAAAACATTGATACAAAAGGTTTCTCAATTGATTCTGGCAGGGTTTAGTATTAAAAGTTTACCAAAGCAGGACCCCGGAAAAGATGGCGTCAAAGATGGCCACCGAAACGTCTTAATGATCATAAGTATGTAACTATCAACTCAAATTTTGATGATCTTGGGGTCAATTCCTAGGTTTTGGGGGGCAAAGAATTCATTAAGATCATTAAAAATGATGTTGTCCTCTTATGTCAAAAATGGCCGCCAACACCTCCAAATGACCGCAAGTCCATAACTATTGACTCAAATTTGACGATCTTGATGTCTATCCCCAGGTTTTTGGGGACAAGGAACATGTTAAGACAACTTTGGATGTCACTGAGCTGCTCAATCATTACAAAATTGAATTCGTGACCTTCAGCTATCCACTATCACCTAATGCACAAACACCCTTGTCCATAGAATAAGTTTCAGAGCGTTCAGTTATGTCATCCTCCTCCTCAGTATCGACCTATTGAGTGTTGTTTAAATTGTCACAGTTTTCAGTTTGACAAGGGCCATATACAGCAGTGTAGAGGAGTCCATAGCGTCTGCAACTGCATCGAGAGGCCTTGCACACCCCCTCCCCCCCCCCCCCCCGTGAACAGTTGCAATGAATAATTTTCAAGAGTTCGCCAAGCGCAGCATTGTTTTGGGTCATAATTGAAATTTACTGATCATTGTCCAGCGTCCATCCCTATTCAGTTGGGTTCATTTCATTTGCCACCCCCGTCCATACCATGATTTGAAAGTACACACGTTGGCTATGAAATCTTGTTACGGTGATGTTGGGGGAAGCCGTTAAAGGGACAATAACACTTTTGCTGGCATGAAAGCTCCAGAAAATAAATAATAATAATATCTCTATCTAAGTACTTGTCCAGAGGGTTCGAAAATATTTTTAAATCGAAGTTTCATTTGAAAAGGTTTACGTTAGACGTTTCAAACCATTATGTTGAATTTTTCAAAATTTTTAAATAAAGTGTTTTAAGATGAAATTTGTATCATCAATTAATTGAAATATTATTCAGTTACAACAAGAGTGGTATTGAGCCTTTAAGGAATGACAAATGCTTCAGCAGTTGCCACTTTCTTGGTGAAAATAATATTATGGCACAGTGATGATATCGTATCATTCGATTTGCCACCAAAGGGATCAACCATCGGGTTTTTGCCAAGATCTGATATGTCCTCTTGAGATTTGTTTTGAAGGGTGAATGCACTAGCACAGGACTTCATGACAGGATCAGATTTCACTAATGTAATTTCCGGAAGGCGGACTTTTTTCCGATGCCTAAAATCCTTGAATTTGAATCACAGCCTGGGTAGACATATACAAAGAGCAACTCGTTGCACGCATCGTCTCCTAAAGTTTCTTAGAACAGGTTAATGTTATACACTTTGTGTACTTTTGACTGCTTGTTTGAACGGAAGCAGGTGATCTCATTGTCTGTTCTGGAGCAATGAAGGAGCACGATCAGCAAATCTGTGACAATTCAAACAACACTCAAGAGGTCGATACTGAGGAGGACGGCACTCGAAACTGAACGCGCTGAAACTTATTCTATGATAGTGGACAGCTGAAGGTCATGAATACAATTTTATAATGATTTAACAGCTCAGTGATATCTAAAGTTCTCTTAATGTGCCCCTTGTCCCCCAAAACCTGGGGATAGACATCAAAATCATCAAATTTGAGTCAATAGTTATGGACTTGCGGTCATTTGGAGGTGTTGGCGGCCATTTTTGACATAATAGGCCAACATCATTTTTAATGATCTTAATGTGTTCTTTGCCCCAAAAAACCCAGGGAAAGACACTAAGATCATCATATTTGGGTTGATAGTTACTTAGTTATAATCATTTTAAGACGTTTCGGTGGCCATCTTTGACGCCATCTTTATGCTATAAAGTACACTAAACCCTACCAGAATCAGTTGAGAAACCTATTGTAGAAAATTTTTTTTGGGGGGGGGTGGTGAGGGGGTATTTTCCATAATATATTGACCTGACTAATCGTAGTAAAACATTTCATATTACCGGTCATTTGAATATATGATCTGACGCGTCTTGCCATCGCAAATTATCGCCCCATACCATGAACG